GACTTTCATTTGTTTCCCCAGCCATATCCTGCAAATGAGAGTTCTAAACTTGTCTCTGAGAGGGTGGATGACTATGAACATGCAGCCAAGTACATGAAGAACAGTCAAGTAAAGTTACCTTTGGTAAGTTTTAATTTTTGAAAGTATTTTATAGAGAATGAGAAAAAGAACATGCCTTATATGGAGACATAGGAAATTATTTCACTTGCTTACAATACTTGGGCTCATTGACTTACAAATCAGTTGTTTCCCCTAAGCGATGTTGACTTGTTATAACCACAGAATATGGAATAAAATTCAATTCAATGGACTGAGATGGAGTGCTATATCTAAGGCAGTGAAGATAGTGAAAACATTACAGGCTTGGTGTGCAAGTTCCCTGCTAATGTAGGCACCAATGAATCACAGTTTCATAGATAGAATTCAGGGGTCCAGGAATTTAAATGGGAAAAAATTACATCTTAACTTACACTAATTTCTGTGTAAAAGTTTTTAAAAATAATTACTACAATAGTACCACAGTGATAATTAGCTGCTACTATGGCTTTGTCATCAGTGGAAATTACAGATATTTTCATAGCACATTTTTGCCAATATCTTAGAATATTGTTTTCATTTATCATGTCTGGAAAATGACATCACTAGAACTGCCACTAGATCTTGTTATTATAGTTAATGGTGTGTGCAAAGCAACACATATCTTTAATATTTTGATAGCTACATAAATGTAATTTATTTCCTTTGTGTAATATATACTTTATTTTGTTATTCCTTTGAAAAAACACAAAAATTGTATTTTTTCCACCAGTGCTGTTTATTGTTTCAAGATAGGCCTTTTTTGTTTTTTCATTTTCCAGATTAAGAATATTAGATAGATGCATTTTCCAGTTACACCCACACACACACTCACACACTATTCCCTCTTCACATACATTCAGTCTTTGAGAATTTGCAAGTTAGAGAGTTTGGCAGGAGGGTAAAAGTGTGAGAAGATGGCTTTCAAAGTTAATCTCACTGATTTCTTTTATATGTTCAAATCACATTATAGGAGTGAATTGAATGTGTATTTACAATGAAGTTAGGGTCTTTTGGACATCTATGCTGGTTATTTAGAAATAAGCATATGTTTACTTCCATATTGAATCTAAAATCTTCTTTTTCTCTTTTGTAATTTTAGGGAACCTTAAGTAAATCAGAATGGGAAGCTACAAGTGAGTATATCATCAGCATAGATTAACTGATAATGTCAAAGTTCCTGTTTCAAAGTGATCATTAAAACCTGCAGAAAGGCCGGGCGCGGTGGCTCACACCAGAAGTCAGTATTTTGGGATGCCGAGACAGCCAGATTCCTCGAGCCCAGGAGTTGAGACCAGTCTGGGCAACATGGCGAATGCTTGTCTCTACCAAAAATACAAAAAAATTAGCCAGGTGTAGTGGCCTGTGCCTGTGGTCCAGCTACTCAGGAGGCTGAGGTAGGAGGACTGCTTGATCCTCAAGGCTGCAGTGAGCTGTGATCACACCACTGCACTCCAGTCTGGGCGACACAGTGAGACTGTCTCAAAATAAACTCTGAAAACTTTTGAGTTTTTCTGACACATTTTAGGTTGTGTTTGTGTTTACACACACACACAAATACCCGTATCTCTATATATGTCTAATCTTGGTTTCTTGCACAGCTGTGTAGTGCCGAGAGAAGACACACTGTACATAGGGTCTCCTCAGCATAAACTTGTGAGCACGTGTAGACAATCTCATTGCCTATTTGTTACTAAGTAGCCATCTCTTTTTGAAGTGTTTACCTCAGATTTCTAGTGGAATTTTTGGCTTATAGACTACTTGCATGCCTTTTTCTTTTTATTTGGCCACTCTGATGTGACCGTGAAGGCATAATAACACTAGAACGTTCAGTGAACCATCCGTGAGCAGGACGCGTTACAGGTGTGCACGATAGGGGCAGACGTGGTGCGCAGATACTCTGAAGGGGAGTTCCTGTGTTCAGAAGAGAAGCCAGAAGCACATCTGTGAAGACCGGTGGTTCTTCAGCGGTGGGTGTGAGGAAGTCGGGCCGCAGAGCCTCGCTGTTACCGCAGGAATCCCCCTTACATGGTGGGTGATAATGTTGAGGCACAAGTGGTCATTAAGGACAATGCATTTGATAAACATTATTGATTTACATGAAGTTTTGTGAAAGGTAAAGTAAAATAAAGATGTTAAATCTCTACCTTCTAGAAATCTACACTGTAATGGAAGGAACAGACACAAATAAATACTACTACTGAGGCAGACTTTTAAGTGCTAATGTGTACATAGTGGGGAACAAAGGAAGGAGAGCTTAATGAAAACTAATGAAATCTGGAGGTAGTAATAATGATTATATTACTGAGTGTTGAACACGTGCAGTGCGTGTAACTTTAATCCTTAATAACATGTTGTAACTCATTTAATCCTCACAATGACTTTATGAGTAATTATATCTCCTTTCACAGATGAGAAAACTAAACTGCTAAGATCACAGAGCTCACCTGTGGATTAGCTTACCTAAGTGATCTTCATCTTAACCGTGTTTTGGAAGCCCTGGCAGAAGAAAATTTAGTAAAGACTTCCTGAGTTGGATAGAGAAGAAAAGCAAAGGAGTAAACAAGACCAGTATTTTGAGGCTATGTGTCTCTGAACATTGGTACTATGACTAGAACTGGACTGGAGGGTGTTATAACACATGCGATCGTGTTGGACACACCAGTGAGCGTGTGCATAAAACTATGGATTATTACTTTTTCCCCTCAAGTGGAGACTGGTTACCTGTCTTAGATATCCTGCTAGTCCCAAAGTAGGGTGTAAATTTTGAATCAAAGAGTCTATCATGATGGTGGTACTGGCTGTGGCTTAGAACTGTATTTTTATATTGCCTATTTGTCCTGAACTTCAGTCATCATGTATACAAATGAAAAATTAGGCCGGGCCGTGGTGGCTTTCAACGCCTGAATCCCAGCACTTGGAGGCGAGACGGGCGGATCACGAGGTCAGGAGATCTGAGAACCATCCTGGCTAACACGGTGAAACCCCCGTCTCTATTAAGAAATACAAAAAACTAGCCGGCGAGGTGGCGGGCGCCTGTAGTCCCAGCTACTCGGAGGCTGAGGCGGAGAATGGCGTGAACCCGGGAGGCGGAGCTTGCAGTGAGCTGAGATCCGGCCACGCACTCCAGCCTGGGCGACAGAGCGAGACTCGTCTCAAAAAAAAGGAAAAAAAAAAGAAAAATTAGATGGCCCAGACAATTGGAAGAGATGGGCTGGACATGTGAGAGAGCAATGGCCAAATTGCACCTAGAGTGTAGCACCCCAGGATTGTTTGGCTCTTTGATGAACTGCACTGTTCTAAGCTAGAGGGCTTCGTGGGTTGAGCGTATCTTGCATGCCATCACGAGTCTACAAGCCCAAGCGATATTTAGACTTCTGCTGGTCTGATCATTAAGCTACATCAGAGCTGCTGCTCCTCTAGAAGATGGCTTTAAATGAGAAAGGCGAGAATTGCTATTGATTGTTTCTGGAAGTGGAAGTGGTTCAACGATTTGATTTTTTTAATCCCATTTGAAATGCCTGCATAGAAGGCATTTTTACAGTAAGTGGAACTTTTTAGGAGTTTCAAGTTAGAAAGTTACAATGTATTGAAATCAGACTGTAGCTGTTAGTTTTTCAGATGACCCTAAATGAGGGAGAGAACAGGACTGAGGGGTTGTTTGCAATTGGTACGGGCCTGTGGAGGTGGGATTTGGCAAGGCTGGACTGCACAAAGCCACCCAGAGCGGGGGACAGCATGAGTGATCGTAGCCAGCTGTGAGTGCTGACGTGCTCAGCACACTGATGTGCTACAAGTGCTGGGGACTGGCGTTTCTCCTTACCTTCTGCAGGAGCAGCAGACTTGATGAACACCTGCTGCTTCTGTCCTGTCACTGTGCTGCTAGCCAGTTTCATTTCAACTAAAGGAAATTGGAACCGGTAAATAAGGAGCAGATAGTAGCAGGACCAAAGTAGTATTTTGGAAAACTGCCATGGTATTCCTGTACAAGTTGGTTGGAAGAGCAAGAAGCTGGAGTCTTGGGAGGCCATCAGGCAGTTTAGGCTGTGTTCATCTACCCTCCTTCAGAAGTCATCTCAGGAGTGAGGCCTCCAGCTTAGATGGACTTGATTCTCGACTCACGTTGAGTATCCTAGCACGTGCCCCCGAACATCCTTGTGATGTTTTCAGGATTTGTCACCTTTTCAGGTATTTTCTTGCCCTAAAATCTATTGGTATTTTATTAGAAGATACACACGCATACCTTGGGGATACTGCAAGTTTAGTTCTAGACCACCGCAGTAAAGCAAGTCACTCAGATTTTTGATCTCCCAGTGCATATAAAAGTTAGGTTTACACTGTACTGTGGGCTGTTAAGTGTGCAGTAGTGTTTGAAAACAGTATACATACCTTAATTTAAAAATGCTTCATTGGTAAAAAATACTAAAGGTCGTCTGAACCTCAGTGAATCCGAATATTTTCTGCCGGTGAAGGGAGGGTCTTTGCCCGATGACAGAATACTCTCGGTGGACGGTGGTTGCTGAAGATGGGTGTGGCTGTGGCTCGTTGACTGACCGTTCTTTCACAGAAGATTTCTCAGTGCATGCAATGCTGCTTCCTGGCATTTTACCCACTGTAGAACTTACTTCTAAATTGGAGTCACTCCTCTGAAACCTCTCCTGGTGCTTTATCAACTAAGATTTTGTAATGTTAATATTCTAAATCCTCTGTTGTCATTTCAACAATGTTCCCAGGGTGTTTACCCGGAAGCAGATTCTATCTCAAGCTCATCCATAAGCAACTCCTCATTTGTTCAGGTTTGATCATAAGATTGGAGCAATTCAGTCACATCTGCAGGCTCCATTTATAATTCTAGTTCTCTTGCTGTTGCCATCCCATCTACAGCTACTTCCTCCCTGATGTGTTGAACCCCTTGAAGTCATGCATGAGGATTGGAATCCAGTTCTCTAAACTTCTGTTCATGTTGTTATTTTGACCTCATCCATGAGGCCATGACATTCTTAATGATATCTAGATGGCCGGGCGCGGTGGCTCAAGTCTGTAATCCCAGCACTTTGGGAGGCCGAGACGGGCGGATCACGAGGTCAGGAGATCGAGACCATCCTGGCTAACACGGTGAAACCCCGTCTCTACTAAAAATACAAAAAACTAGCCGGGCGAGGTGGCGGCGCCTGTAGTCCCAGCTATCGGGAGGCTGAAGCAGGAGAATGGCATAAACCCGGGAGGCGGAGCTTGCAGTGAGCTGAGATCCGGCCACTGCACCCAGCCTGGGTGACAGAGCAAGACTCTGTCTCCAACAAAAAAAAAAAAAAAAAAAAAAGATATCTAGAATGGTGAATCCTTTCCATCAGGTTTTAAATTTACTTCATCCAGATCCATCAGAGGAATCGCTATCTATGGCAGCTATAGCCTTACAAAATGTATTTCTTTTTTTTTTTTTTTTTTTTTTTTTTTGAGACGGAGTCTTGCTCTGTGCCCAGGCTGGAGTGCAGTGGCGCGATCTCGGCTCACTGCAATCTCCATCTCCCGGTTCACACCATTCTCCTGCCTCAGCCTCCCGAGTAGCTGGGACTACAGGCGCCGCCACCTCGCCCGGCTAATTTTCTTGTATTTTTAGTAGAGATGGGGTTTCACCGTGTTGCCAGGATGGTCTCGATCTCCTGCCTCGTGATCCGCCCGTCTCGGCCTCCCAAAGTGCTGGGATTACAGGCTTGAGCCACGCGCCCGGCCACAAAATGTATTTCTTAAATAAGAGACTTAAAAATGAAAATCACCCCTTGATCATGGGCTGCAGAATGGATGTTGTATCAGCAGGCATGAAAATAACATTAATCTCCTTGTACATCTTCATCAGACCTCCTGGGTGACCAGGTACATTGCCAATGAGTAGTAATATTTTTAAAGAATTTTCTTTTTCTGAGCAGTAGGTCTCAACAGTGGGCTTAAATACTCAGTAAACCGTGAACAGATATGCTGTCATCCAGGCTTTGTTCCATTTATAGAGCATGAGCAGAGCAGATTCTACATAATTCTGAAGGGCCTCAGGATTTTTGGAAGGATAAATGAGCATTGGCTTCACCTTAAAGTCGCCAGCAGCATTAGCCTCTTGACAGGAGAGTCCCCTGTCTTTTGAAGCTTGAAACCAGGTGTTGACCTCTCTAGCATGAAAGTCCTCAGTGGCATCTTCTAATAGAAGCTGCCTCGTCTCCATTGAAGATCTTGCTTAGTTATGTAGCCACCTTCATCGGTGATCTTAGCTAGATCTGCATAACTTGCTGCAGCTTCTACATCAGCACTTGCTGCATCATCTTGTACTTTTACATTATGAAGGTGGCTGTTTCCTTAAACCTCCTGAACCAACTTCTAGTTTCAGACTTTTCTTGTGCAGTTTCCTCACCTCTCTCATCCTTCATCGAATTGAAGCGAGTTAGGGCCTCTGATTAGGCTTTGGATAAAGGGAATGTTGTGACTGGTTGACCTCTTTGCAGACCACTCAGACTTTTTCTGAAAATCAGCTGTCAGGCTGTTTGCTTTGTTATTCAGTGTGTTTTTGGAGTAGACTTTTATTTTAAGAACTTTTCCTTTGCATTCATAACACCTGATTTCAAGCCTAGCTTTTTGCCTATTTTAGCTTTTGACATGCCTTCTTCACTAAGCTTAATCATTTCTAGCTTCTGATTTAAAGTGAGAGATGTGCAAGTGTTCGTTTCACTTGAACATGTAGAGACCATTGTAGGGTATTAACTGGCTTGTTTCAATATTGTTGGATCTCCAGAACAGAGAGGCCCGAGGAGAGGGAGGGTGAGAGATGGGGGAACAGCTAATTAGTGGAGCATCAGAGCACTCATGACTTTAGGAGTTCTCCATCTTACAAACGCACTTCTGTAAAGTTTGTGGCACACCAAAACAGTTATAACAACACAGCAAAGATCGCTGATTACAGATCGTCATGACAGATAATAATGGAAGCTTGAAATAATGCAAGAATTACCATAATGTGATATAAAAACCTGAAGCAAGCATGTGCTGTTGGAAAAATGGTGCCAGTAGACTTGCTTGACGTGGTATTGCCACAGAGCTACAATTTGTAAAAAAAAAAAACCAGTCTGTGAGGCTAAATAAAGTTAGGTATGCCTTTAATAGGTTTCAACTTGATTCAGAACAAGGAATCGTAAATTCATTTAGCTGTCTTTTGAGTCGAAGCAGGAAACCTTATTTCAGGGAGAGAGCTCTTGGGGCCAGTACATGCAGAAATAGAAATAGTGTCTGTAAGTATTAATTGTCATAGAGCTTTAGGCGCACTTTCTTCACAAGGCCCTGCAACACAGTCATTGGGTGAATTGTTAACATGTATGTTCCTTTAATTCTTCTTTTATAAAATAGCTTTAATATTTTAATTCTAGTTTTCTTTGTTACACTTTTAATTTAAAATTTAATTTATAATTTTAATTTGTTATACTTTAGTTATACTTTGATTTTTCTTACCTTAAACTGATTTTTAGGCCGGGCGCGGTGGCTCAAGCCTGTAATCCCAGCACTTTGGGAGGCCGAGACGGGCGGATCACGAGGTCAGGAGATCGAGACCATCCTGGCTAACACAGTGAAACCCCGTCTCTACTAAAAAATATACAAAAAACTAGCCGGGCGAGGTGGCGGGCGCCTGTAGTCCCAGCTACTCGGGAGGCTGAGGCAGGAGAATGGCGGGAACCCGGGAGGCGGAGCTTGCAGTGAGCCGAGATCCGGCCACTGCACTCCAGCCTGGGCGACAGAGCGAGACTCCGTCTCCAAAAAAAAAAAAAAAAAAAAAAAAAAAAACTGATTTTTAGAGCTGTTGAACTGGTTTTCCCATGGGCTGCTATATCACTGAGTATTATAGTAAGTAGATAATTGTTTTAAAGTAAACAAATACCATCCCATGTCTGCCTAAAAATGATTCAGATAATAGAGGAACTCTGAGAATTTACGGGGATTTTCCTCTTCAGAAGCTGCTTGAGAGCCTAAGAATTTTCCCCAAATTATGAACAAGACAGATTGTTTTATTTATTGTAATCATATGAGAAACTAAACTCTTATTTATTTCCTTTTTAGGTATTTACTTGGTGTTTGCCTTTGAGAACAGCAGTGAGCACAGGCAGTAGTCCCAGAGGGGCCATGTTCTGCCTGCACGGATGTGAACAACTCATCTCGATATATTTGACATTTCTCTGTCTGTTGATTTTAATTCTAAATGTGCAGGATGCTGCCAGAAACTGCAGTGCAGAAATTCAGCATTTGCTGTCTGTGACAGATGAACTTTTGCATGTGTATATAAGAATGAATTGGGACCTCTGTCTTAAAAAATCTATTTTTAGGTAATGTTCTAAGAATTCCATTTGCCTCTATGATCTTAGCTCATACAAATATAATATGACTTGTTAAAGCAACTAAACTCTTTCCTCAGTGCTCAGATTTGTCCTGTGTGCGTCTACAGTATTCAATTTATTGCAGTTGTAGAATTGGTCAGAGAGCATTTTCATAGTATGTTCATTTCTATGGTTTTGTTATATAGCATTTTTCAAGATTTAATGGTCTGTACAGTTGAATGTAAGTGTTCAATATGTATTGTTCAAGTTAAAAGTTTAGAACTCAATTTCAGATGTTCATGAAAGTTGCTTAGCTGAAATTTTAGCAATGTATTGCATTTTGAAATAATCATTAACATGCCACAATTCAGGAGCTGGTTAGAACATTTTAAGTGGCAGCATAGAATTTTGGAATTTGGGGGCTTTCTTTTGAGAATTTACTACCACAGCAATTAATGTTTCCAGTTACCAAGATTGTGATTAGACACATTTACCTTTCTTCATTGAACAAATGGTGCCATAGTTATTTTTCTCAAAATTTAGTGAAAATCCCTCCCATGTAAACATGTTGCACATTTTTTCCAAATTTATAGATAGAACTGCATTAGGAATATTCTCACCAACTGATGCTGTGTACCCACTTCAGCCCAGAAATAAGCAATACCTGTTCTTCTGTTACAGCCTCAGCACTTTGCACCATACGAGCCATTGTTAAAATTGTCACTTGTATAATTGACTGCTTTTCCAAAACTGGTACCTATGTGAACTGTTGTCCTTACTTTACACCACCATTTGGAAAACTTGCCAGTTTTTAGATGTAGATGTAGTGAAAAACTTCAAGAATGAGGCCGGGCGCGGTGGCTCAAGCCTGTAATCCCAGCACTTTGGGAGGCCGAGGCGGGTGGATCACGAGGTCAGGAGATCGAGACCATCCTGGCGAACACGGTGAAACCCCATCTCTACTAAAAAAATACAAAAAACTAGCCGGGTGAGTTGGCGGGCGCCTGTAATCCCAGTTACTCGGGAGGCTGAGGCAGGAGAATGGCGTAAACCCGGGAGGCGGAGCTTGCAGTGAGCTGAGATTCGGCCACTGCACTCCAGCCTGGGCAACAGCGCGAGACTCCGTCTCAAAAAAAAAAAAAAAAAAAAAACTTCAAGAATGAAGCAGAGCAATTGAGTATTGTTTTTTAAATTATTAAGCCATGGTTTACAAAAACATCACTTTCTGTAGTAATTCACAATACTTGTTTTAAAAACATAGTGTCTTTATTAGTTTATGTCTATTAACCGTTCATGGTGTTAGAGTTGCAAGCTTTTTAGCAAGAAAATAGGGTTTCCTCATTTCAGTTCCTTCTGCAACCTGTGAATCTCCAAAGTGTTACCAGTTTACAAAAATAAGTCTTTTTGCCTTAAGTCGTTTGGGAAGTAAGTAATACTGCATCTGACTCTGGTGGCTGCCATTAGCTAGGAGAAGTTTGCAGATGGTGTTGGTGAGGTGGGGAAAGGAAGTCGTCCTGTCACACACACAGGTTCGTTTTCATTCTAGCGCAGTGCCGGGAAGTGTATTGATAGCTTGTAGGTACAGGAAAAGCATCATCATCATTTCCTCAGTTCGCATTTACTGGTCTTAACAGGTAATAATAATACATGTACTTTTAGCCTCTTTCAGCCTCTTCCACGCCATGGGTAATTTGGGGGAGAGGAGGATCCTGCAAAGGATGGAGTAACCAGTGGTAATACAAAGCAGGGAGAACAGAAAGGTAGAGTTCCTCAGGCCTTCAGTGAACAGAAAGGAGCAGAGAGTGAGATTAGATCTGAGAAGACGCTCTGGGGACTGAACCCACTGTTGCTGGTGTTGGGGAGGCTCACTGGAGCCACGTCTGCAGGCACTGCGTTCAGGCAGCCGCCTTCCTCCTCGAGCTTTGCCTGTCGCTTGCCTTATCAGTTCTTTCTCCACCACCCCCCACCCGCCCCCAGCCCGTGTCTCCTTGCTACCATTAAGTTTCTGGACATTGACTTAAGAACTGTTAGGAAAAGGTAAAGGACCCCTGCCTATCCTCTCCAACCACCAAGGTGGAGGACCTAGTAGGACGCCCTCGACCCACCTTGCAGTCGAAATGTTCGGTTTTCTACTCAGGACTTAGGTGACTGTTGTGAGGGGGCGTGGCTTTTCACCATCAGGCCAGGAAGAGCACCTGTTCCCGTAAGCTCAGTGAAGTGGGGCCCTCCCAGACCTGCCGTGCAGTTTATCCTCCGAGAATGGAATTAGAAATGAAGACCCAGCCAGCTATTGGTGGGATGACGGAACTGGGGATTGCGCTGATTGATCTGGGACTGTGGCTGGATTGTGATGGAACGAAGACTGCTGATGTTCAATGCTTTGGGCCCAGGATATACTTGAGAAAAAGCACTAGTGGCTTGTGTTCAGGGAGAGGAGCTGGCAGTTTTTAACCACTTCTGAGGAAGCCGTGTTCTAACCTGCGGAGAGTATTGCGATTCTGTGAGAGGGCCTCTGCAGAGCCACTGCAGCGTCCGGCTTGGCCCTCCTGTGCCTTCAGTACCCAGCCAGGCTCTCTGGGTCCAGGGTGACTCGCAAAGAAACTGGCCTTCAGCCGGAGAAAACACGGGGTGGAGACTCTCACTTACGTTAACGCCTTCTCGTAATGCCTGAAAGGCAGGTTGCCAGCACAGTGAGTTTCCCAGCCTGCTCCCCCACCCACACTTGGAAATCGAGGGAGCACGATCGCTGTCTGACTTCACATGTTAGTAGAGAATCAGAGCAGAGCTGAGAGTATATTGGTCAGCATCATAGAAAAGCAGACAAAGGTTGCTGAGCCATGAGAGGGCCAGGTATCCAGTTTTGTTAACTCGGGAATTTCTTCTTAACCTGTTTTTTAGCTTAGTGCCATTATGTCATTTTGATTTGTATTCAAGTACTCTTCAAGTATCTTTGTGATGAAGGTTTGGTTACTTGTAGAGATCTGCCTGCACGGTGAAAATGCCAGTGTGAATGTTCTAGCTACCGAACATTGTTTTTTGTTGAAAAACTGACTTTCTGTTGTCTACCTCAGGCCTTGTGCGTTTGGGTTATCTCGAGCCAGTCACCACAGAGGGTCTCTAGGGTCTGCAAAATAGAGGCCAAATCCAGGGACCAGGCCCCAGTAATGGAAGTTGTACCAAAATGCCTGTGGTACTTGACGGCCTGTTGGTCAAATAGGAAGTGTGAGTGTGTGATGTTAGAACCTCCCTAGTTGCTGCTGTATCAAACACTACACACTTGACAAGCGTTTTCGTTCCCCGCCCTCGGACAGAACAACATTCCTAATTGTTTGAAGGCAACCAGTGCAAAGGCTGCTACACTTCTGTCATGATCTTTAGCAGATATGGACGGGACTGGATCCCGGGGCACTGTCAGCACTTCTCTCCCTCTTGTGCTCCCCGGTTTGTCCTCTGCTCCCACGTAGGCCTAAAAGCCACCCCACTCCGTAGTGCCTGCGCCTCACCACGATATTGAGGACGCTGAGGACACCCAAGGGTACTCTGCACAGTTTGGCTGTGGAGACTTGAGCAAGCCCTCAAGTCCCCTGCACCCTGGACTTCTCCTGGGTTGTACTTTTCTGGGGACAGCGTACCTTGGACAAAGCCGAGCTGACAACTCACGTTTATTAGTCTCCTACCTGAGTCAGTCACTTCGCCAAATTCTTCACCTGTGGTAACTCATTTTGATTGTTACAACATCTCAGCACCATTATTCCCATTTTAATGATGAGGAAACTGAGTCATAGAGGATACAGACTTGCCCAAAGGAGAGCTAGGATTTCCACACCCCCTCCCCAAGTCGGGCCTGCCCTCCAAGTGCTTGTTATATACCTCCGTGGGTGTCAGCCCAGATGACTCCACCCATCCACCACCTGCAGCTTGAGATGTTCACTATTAGAGCTCCATCCTTTTGGTTCAAAACGTTGGTACCTACGTAGATGTTCCCTGGGAGAAGTGTTTCTTTCTGAGTAAGGGGCTTTGTTGAAAGGGGGGGTTAGAGAGAGCAAGACGGCCCTCGAGTGCACTGGCAGGAAGCAAAGATAAGACTTGAATTTAAGTTTGATGGGCCTCCTCCTTTAGCAGCCCAACCTGTAGCAAATCTAGTTTAGCCTGCATGACAGGGAGACGGTTCTCTTCCCACCCTCACCGTTTGCAAGTGGCCGGAGCTGGGAATGGCAGTACAAGAGTGTAGCCAAAGTGAGGCTGAGAAAAGGAGGCCTTTTTTTCAGTTTTGAGTTGAGTATCCAGACAGAGGCAAATCATTTTAACTTTTTATTAAAGTGTAACTATAGAAACACATCAATGATTTTTCACAAATGGAACACGTGCATACAATCAGCACCCCAGAAGCCCCCCATCAGATTCCCTTCCAGTTAACTACCTCTCCAAGGGAAACCACTATCCTGAGTTCTAAGAGCATAGATTAGTTCTGTCTGGTTTGGGATGATACATAAATGGAATTATGCATTCTTTGTATCTGGTTTCATTTCACCCATATTATGTTTGTGAGATTTTTGTTGCATGTATTTGTACATGGTTTTTCATTCTCATGGTTGTATAATATTCCATTGTGTGAATAAACCACATACTATTTATCTGACGGCTGTTTGGTTCATTTACCATTTGGAAGCAAGTACTGATCCAGATACTCTAGTACATGAATTTTGGTGCACCCAGGTACGTACTTCTGCCTAGGAATGTGCTACAATTTGAATGTTTATCCTTCCAAATCTTATGTTGAAATTTGATCCCCAGTGTTGCAGATGGGACCTAGTGGGAGGTGTTTGGGTCATGGGGGTGGGTCCCTGATGAATAGATTAATGCCTCACGGTGGTGGGAGTGTGAGTTCTTGCTCATTTCCCAGAGACAAGTTAATTTTTTTCCGATTAACAACAATGACACCTGGTGGTTTAAAAGAGCTTGGCACCTCCCCCATCTTTTGCTTTCTCTCGCCATGTGATCTCTACACACCAGCTCTCCTTTGCCTTCCACCATGAGTGGAAGCAGCCTGAGGCCCTCATCAGAAGCAAATATTGCAGGATCTCTCCGGGCCTTTGTCTTCTGTGCCTACGTGTCCGCGGCTCAGTTACCCTCTACTGCTCCTTTGCCTTTGCCCTGTCACCCTGTTACCTGCAAGGGTAGGGAAGATAGCAGTACACTCGAGAACCAGGAAGTGGAAACAGGAATACCAGAGCCTTAAAGATCAGTACAATGATGTTTGGAGAAATCTAAAAGAGTTGGGGAGGGAGCTAAGCTGGCTGACTAGATGCGGCCAGGAAGAGCATCTCTCACCAAGAGACCAGACCATCAAGAAAACTGACACACTGGCCGGGCGCGGTGGCTCAAGCCTGTAATCCCAGCACTTTGGGAGGCCGAGACGGGCGGATCACGAGGTCAGGAGATCAAGACCATCCTGGCTAATACGGTGAAACCTCGTCTCTACTAAAAATACAAAAAACTAGCCGGGCGAGGTGGCGGGCGCCTGTGGTCCCAGCTACTCGGGAGGCTGAGGCAGGAGAATGGCGTGAACCCGGGAGGCGGAGCTTGCAGTGAGCTGAGATCCGGCCACTGCACTCCAGCCTTGGCGACAGAGCGAGACTCTGTCTCAAAAAAAAAAGAAAACTGACACACTCTGAGCAGATCTTTGGAAGGAAGGTGTTGAGAGTGGACAGTGGGAAAATACAGACGCTGGGCTCAAGGGGAAGGAAGCG